GCACACAGCCCTGCAGAGACCTCACAGCTCTGGGGAGACCGCATACAGCCCTGGTGAGACGCTGCACAGGGATCGCTGAGGATCCCAAATCTCCCAAGATGATGGTCAGACAAAGTGGAGGGTCATCGTCTCACAAGATTTGGGATCCTTGTGCACTATGTACCTGGGCCCACTGCCGAGGTCTGCGCTATCGACTTATGTTTTCTGCACTTCCAAGCCACGCAGGGCACTTCATGGGTAGGGTATGTGCCCGGAACATTTCTGGAACCCATTACGAAGTTCTACAATGTCAACGGTGATCTGGGATGCCGCGGTCAGCTCATTCCATGGAAGACAGTGGAAAATGTGCTTCCGTTGGGGAGAACCTGGAAATGTTGGAATGTTGCTGTTGTATGTGTTTGCTGCGTTACTGCTTTGTTTCTGTAGACTAGGATGGAGGCCTGATGAAATGAGTGGACGTGTTTAAAATGCTCAAAATATAACAGGATATAATAATACTGTAACTCCGTAGAGTGTTGATCCAGGTTATAGCTGATTGCCTGTTGGAGCAGATTGGAGCATGCTTCAACAAAATCAAGGGATTTCTACGTTCCTCTGGATGCTCTGCGGGTTTAGGCCTCTGGGGATGCGGCTATTTCATTTATTATTGTCTTTTGGTTCAACAAGTCGCATTCTTCAACCTATGTGAGTCATGTAACACCTCATTTCAAGGGTAGGTAGGGAGGAGGCTGTTCTAGGGAACTGACTTTTCCTGCTCAGATTCCTGGCAAGATCAAAGGCACGTTGAAAGAGAATAAAATACATTCATGGAAAAATACTTGATTTATCTGTGCTTTTTAAATTGGAGACAGGGTCTCTTTAAATGTAAGGATTTTGGGGGTTTAACAGTACAGGGGGTCCTGCATTGACTTGGTCTCATTTAAGAGTGACCTGTATGGTTAAAGCAGAGACAGAGACAACGGCACTCCAAATTGGCAAGCAAACGTCTATTTATTGACGTGCAGCATAGCAAAAAATAGCAACGAACGTTTCAGGGTCACAGAGGATCCCCTTCATCAGGCAAAGCATGACCCCGAAACGTTCGTTGCTATTTTCTGCTATGCTGCACGTCAATAAATAGACATTTGCTTGCCAATTTGGAGTGCCGGTGTCTCTGTTTCTGCTCATGATTGTTACGGCTGCCACCCGTTGACTACCGCAGCACCCACTTCTTCAAGGGATTTTTGCGGTCAGGAGTGCGATGGGACCATGAACTTTCTGTATGGTTAAAGGCCGCCATGAGTATGTGTGACCAATAGGGATGAATGGGATCGTGGCGCACATGAGTAGTATGAAGGCGGCACCTGGCAGGGGCCACACAATGAAGATCAATGGAACAGAGAGAAAGGTACGTATGTAACCAGGTGGGCTGCACTTGGAGGGTTGAGGGGTCATTAAAGGACAACTGTACTAATGGTAGCGTCGTCCATTTCTACATTGATGGACATATAGCCAGCGGAGTGCCAGGTCATATAACCTAAAAACCCCAAAGGTCACCCCAACATCTGGACGCATTTATAAATGTACCCTCCTCCCCCCCTCCCGGACTTTATTCAGAGTAATACTAGTTCCATTCTGCGGAATGAGATTTATTTTGGGATCACTCAGAGAATTTCTATTATGCGAAACATTCCGTCTCCGGAACGATCTTTATTTAGAGTCATTTCTTGTTACTATGTGGAAGCAAACATCGCGGCGGTTCCGCTCATCACAGTCGAGGGCGGATGTTTATGCCCCAATTCCCAATGTTTGTATTTAACCTCCTATCGGACGCAGATCTGTCTGTGCCAGCGGCGGCCGGTAATGTGCGCTCGGAGAAACAAATGGGTTTATCTGAAGGGAACCTGTCACCATGATAACAATATTAATGTGGAGGGTGAAACACAGCAGGCACCAGGGGGGTCTCTGCACGCACCTTTCGTCTCTGATAATATGATCCTGGTGCACTGGGGGATTTTTTTTCTAATTTTTTTGTCTTCATGTGGAGACAGAGCGGCTTTGAGAAATACCAAAATAACGAATCAATAATACCAACTATTAATAATGCAGGAGAACCTTCAGCTTCCAGTTCCTTTCCATTTATTGACTTTGTTTCAAGTTACACCACGCTTGTACTAAACCGACTTTTTAATTCCTCTCGTTGGCCACAAAAGCCCGGTCCAGTATGCACAGATTTGTCTCTTTGGTCCCGATGCTCATTAAAGAATGTTATCTCACTCAGGCGTGTTTGAGTTATGTAGTCTGCGGCTCCTCTATCCGGAGGCACTGTCAAGCCGTGGCTGCCTGCAGAGCTTCCCCGCAGGACCAGAGTTTACACAAGAGACGGTAGGCGATCCATCTGCTGCTCGGGTCTGTCTCCAGCTTCCAGGCTGGAGGGGAAAGAAGTGTGTGGCGCCAAAGGTGTCGGCGTCTGGTAATTATACAAGCTCATGCATCAGTTTTTATACCAGTCAAGTTCGGGAACTAGAGGCATGTCAAAGAGAGGCGCAGAGGCCTTGTTGTCCTTGTTCCACCTAGAAAAATCACAAATTTGACTTTCTTAAAGAGGCTCTGTTACATTTGCCCGTTCCTATTGACCCACCACCAGGGCTGGATTTCCCACCAGGCCAACCAAGGCCCGGCTTTGGGGCAGCAGGGAGTAGAGGGGCAGCAGGGGTGTGGAATTCCTATCTCCTGACGCCCAAAATATGCAGTTCCGTGCCCTGGGCGGGTAGTTGTTTTCTACATTTAGCCCTGCTTTGGGCAAGCAGAGCTAAATGTACAGCGGGGAAGCTGCCGTTTGTTTTGTACAAGTGATCTCGGCGATGTCGCAGCCTGCATGTCTACCATTCTCCATGGGGGATGGGGGGGAGGGAGTTGGTAGGTAGGGGGGCGCATTGAGGAACCTGGCCTTCGGGCAGCAGAGAGAGTAAATCCAGCACTGTCCATCACTTTGATGGGCTGTCTCAGTGGTCAATTAGAATTTGTTGGAGGGAGTCAAGCAAGCACCATCATTACCAGAGCTTGGCCCCATCACAACGGTCCTCCATTTGGAAAAAGATGGGTTGATAAGCTTCTGAAGGTATCTACAGGTACTTTTAGACACCTGCACTTTCTATCTGCTATCAAAGTGATGAAGTCAAGTGACTCGTTTGCTATTTTAAGAATGTAAAACAAATATTTCCCTTCAGAGAATGAAATTAATACCCGTCCATTGACCTGACCAAACTCCAGTGGGTAGAAGAATTAAGCTTGCCTAAAGACCTGCTCACTTCCATAATGTGTCAGAGATCAAGTCCTTTGCCATGCTTTGTGGTTCCTTCTTCTTGTATTGTCCTATGGGCCAATGAAGGACACCACAGCGTGCAGTGGTGGGTCCAGCATCTGACACTCCTGGAAGGGTCCAATTCAGAAGGTTTCTGAGCAAGCTACTTTCCTTCAACCCAGTGGAGATTGGTGGCATGAGCAGCAGGAGAGGTACGTTTTATTGCTTGCTTTGCAGAGAGGAAAGTAGCTTCATTCTTTGCAGGTCACTAAATACACAAAGTGTCTTTTTGTTCATAAACTCCTCATGGTCTCCACGACAAGAAGTGTGGAAAAGGCAAGGCTTTGGCCTAACTATCTTTGTACTAAAAGGTGTCCTTCTTTCCTATTTCTGAAAGTTGGGAGGTATAACCTGTACGTTGTGTTCCGTTCCATTGCCTGCACTGACACCTATTGCTGCCCTTGGCAGGCCTCCTGGTTGGACAGTCTGCAGAATTTTGAACCTTCAACCTCAAGACAGACTTCTCCATCCAGGACCTGTGCAGACAAAGCCTTAGCAATTCCCGAACTTTAGAAGATCAGAGGCTCAGCTAGCAGGATGACAACCAATCCAAAATATTAATGACCATGTACCAAAATGTCCTTGTCCCTGAGATGTATGGTGACTCATTAGGGAGGCCTCCACCGAGTACTCTTTATATCTACAATGGATAAAAACAACTCCATTATAATTTTAGGGGAAAAAAGGCATTGCTGTGTTGGAGATCTTTCCCCTCTTTCCGTGTGTTACAGTACCTACAGGGGCATTGTTCATCCTGACTGTGTGTAGCATGTTGTGGCCTTTTGGCTGTGGTTGGGCACGCATATGGGTGCATTGTTGGTCAAGGACGCGCACACTTTGGAGTGCATCCCAGGCGTAGGGTGTGTACACGTGTCAAACTACTTCCATTTAGGCGGCCAGTGCTGTGACTTCTTGACAACTACCTTGTTAGGGTGCTTAGCCCGAGGTACGCCTTTTGTGTTGTTGACCTGGACTGCCTGACTCTGCCTGTGTATGTTCCATTCCCGACAAACCTTGCCCGCAGCCTGCCTCAACGTGTGCCTTGAAAAGGACTATACTTGCCTACCACCTGCCTGGAAACAATTACCCTTGCAGACCACCTGTCTCAACCTCTGCCTGGAAACAACTACCCTTATGGGGAACTCTGGTGAAGACCAAGGTGCCACTTGGACTTAGCACCTCAATGAGCCTGCGCCAGGGGCAAATCTCATAACTGTCCCGTTTATTGTCTCTTCCTATATGGGGTACAATCAGCAGTAAAAAAAAAAAAACGGAGTTCCAATTTTTAAGACTTGGCGTGGATTTAAAAAAAAATAGTTCTTCTCCTCATGGCTCAAATGATGTGCCCAAGCTTTTCTTCCAAAGCCCAAAAAAGATGGCTGATTATGGCCACAGAGTCAACATGACTGCCACCAGTAGAAGTCAGCTCCCAGCTCGTAAACTGATCATTTTTCTCCTTCCCAAAACTATATTACTTGATTTATGCACACACACAAAACACCAATTTTCCAGCATCTTACAAAATTTCCATGACCAGTGCTACAGAATTTTGTAGCTCCTTTGTGGACCTTACAGTTCAATCCATTAGCACATGGACGCAAAAATCATTTGCATGGTTGCAAGGAACCACATAATGTTTGACCACCATAAGCCACAGACCAGGCCGAGCCTTTGATCCTCATGGCGGCTTTGTGATATCAACCCAAACACCACAAATGAGGACCTCATAGGAGCTCCTAAGACGTTCTGCAAACCTTCCAACTCCCTTCATATAACTGAAACTCGACTGTTTTTGATGTAGACGTGGTAGGGGTCACTGCGTTTGTCCACGGTCTTAGACCTCGTGTACCCGAGTATCAAACTGCCCACGGTCACGGCAAAGAGGAACATGACGAAGATAATGAAGATGTAGGCGTTGTCGTCCTTGTTGGGTTTTTCCACTTTGAAGCCGGTGACGTTGTGGTGCTCGTCCGGCTGGCACGGCTGATTGTTCAGTGTCTTGTTGATGGCCTGGAGTACGGTGTTGAGGTTTTCCAGGAGCTTCTCCATGGTGAAGTTTTTGTTCATGTCAGCGGGGATTAAAGGGACGGAGAGCGGTTGCACTTCGATGCGTCCAGCAGAGCGGAACCTGGAGACAAAGTAGGTATGTTAATGACATTCTGACGACAGGTTGTCACATGTATCACCTGGAGCAAATCACAATTCAGCTTAGCCTTGCGCAACACGTGAGTGTGTGTTTGTTTTTGTTGTACTGCAGATTTCGAGCCGGTTGGTTGGTGCCGACAGGGCCACCCACGGATCAAATTTCGGGCGGATTCAGCAGGAAATGGATGAAATCTCATCTGTGTATGGGCAGTTTAAGAGGCGACTTATCCTCACTTTTCCTCTCACTTCCTGACGTGTCTCTGGAACAGGAAGTGAAGGGAAATTCCCCCAAATGGAACACAGACACAGAAATTCTAACCATTCCCTACTCTACCCCCCTCTGCCCCACCCAAAAAAAATACATTTAGCCCTGGGCAAGCAAAGCTAAATGTAGAGCGGGGAAGTGCCGCTTGTTTTGTACAAGTGACCCCCGGCGATGTCTAGGGTTGCCACCTGTCCAGGATTCACCCGGACAGTCCGGGTTTTGAATGCTGTGTCCGGGTTTCATGGCAGCAGAGACCCGGACACAACATGTCAGGCAGACAGGGGCAACCAAACCTAATACAGGGGCTACTGGCTCCCCACTGAAAATAGTCTCATCTATGATATTTACATACGAATGGGTGGCGCTATGTACATATGAGTAAGCCACCACTCATTCTCCCCAAAGAAATGTCCGCATGTTGCTAGAGTGTTCGGGTTTCGCTTGAAGAAAAGGTGGCAAACCTAGCGATGTCTCCGAGATCACTTGTATGCAGCCTGCATACAGGGGGGGCGCATTGAGGAACCTGGCATTGGGATGGCAGAGAGAGTAAACCCGGCCATGCCTGCTGGCCAGAATCATATAGGCCAGGTGCCCTTATTAGTTACAATGTAAACCTAAAGGGTTCTATACAATAAACAATTCTCAGGGCCCTTCACCACGTGAATGTCTTTGAGCATTCATTTTGGGCAAATAACGGCAAAAACAAATGTTCCTAATATATATATATATATATATA